GTCACCCCCCCTCCACACCGCCACCACCACCCTCCCCCCCCTCCACACCAGCTCCTCGTGTGGGGGTAGCTTTGCTGATTTTCGGTGACATTTAAATGTCCCTTGATGTTTCCATCTGTGACAGGCTTGTGGGAGAGAGAAGCATCTTATTTATCTCCCTCTCCCCCCTCTGCCTTTTATTTTTATATATTTATATATGTAAGTGGGTTTTTTTACTGGATTTTAATGTTTGCATGTACTGTCCCGGCCCCTGGACTGAGTGAGTAGTGGGGCTCCGGGGGGGTGGGGAGGGAGCAGGGAAGGAGGCGCACAAAAGCCATCTCTTGCAAGTGGAAATAAAACTCCATTTGACTTAAGCTAACTGGGGAGAGGCAGGCAGGGAGGTGGTCTTTTGGATTTGGTGCGTGTCCCCGTCCCCGTCCCCCCCCCAGTCGCTGAGGAAAGAAAGAAAAGTAATTGCAAGAGGACGCTCTGGATGGTGGGGTTAATTGTGATGCTGCCTGGAAGCAAAAAAAAAAGAAAGAAAAAGAAGCTATAAATAGGAGGGGAATGGAGGCTTCTTAGTGTAGGAGCAATTAGCAGCTGGGCTCTCATCCTGGATGCTTTATGTAGATTTTTTTTTTTTTGCCTTTCTCCTGCTGACAATGCGCTCTCCTGTCACTGCTCTATTGCTGAAGTTTCAGTAGCTGCAGCCTTTGGGCTTTGCACCCTCAGAGTATTTCTGCTGCCCCCAGGAAGAAATGGCTCAAGTAAGAGCTGCCTTAATTGCATGGAGCCCTCCAGAGAAGGGATGAGGAGGCAGTAACTCGGGGGAGAAAGAAAAGAAATCCAAGAGCCGTGTGGATGAGGAGGGGTGGGAAGGAACCAGAGCTGCAAGTGAGTGCCCAGGAGAAGCCCATTGTGTGCGAGAGGATGCACGGGGAGCGCGCATGCGCCGCGCTGGACAAAGCAGCCAGAGACCGCCAGCTTTGCTCGGGAATCAGCAAAAAGGGGCTTCACGCTCCGCACCCGGCCCGGCCGAGGGTACGGCCAGCCCGGGGCCATGGCAGCATCCTGGCCAAGCGGTCTGGTGGGGCTGCCCCTTTGTCCCTCCGGCCTGCCCTCCTGCCCGGCCCCAGGGAGCGCATCCGCAGCCTGGGGGCCTGGGTGGTGCCCCCCTCCCCAGGGGCTCCTTTTCAGCCTTGTCAGCTTCCATCTCTCTGCATTGGTGGTGTCTTTCAAGGACACCGAGTTACCACCTCTTGTGCCAAGGATGCTGCTGTGCCTGGCTACTTTTTCCTTTTCTTGCTTTCTCTCTCTCTCTTTTTTTTTTTTTTTTTTTTTTTTTTTTTGTGAATGCAGCACTCCAACTTTTCACCCAACTTTAAATCAGGGTGGGGATGGGGGATCAAATCTGCTCCGAACCGTGGGGCTGAGCGCTGTGGGCTGACTTTGGCCGAGTTCCGTCCCTGCCCGCTGGCGGGAGGTGGGAAGCCCCTTCTGAAGCCCTGAGCCGCTTTGGGCTGGGGCTGGTTTCTGGTTTGCAGTGGCTACCAGGGCTCTGCTGCCTGCAGGTACCCGAGTCCCGCCAGGCCCCACGCACAGCTCTCCCGCCGGCGTGCCTGCTGCCTCGCTTGGCACTGCAGAGCCCTTTCAGAGTTTTAGCATCTCATTCCTGTAGCACAGCTGCCAGATGCAATCCCCAAATACGCCTTTCAGCCCAGGCACCGCCCAGCTCAGCGTCTTCCACGTTTAATTCGGTGCCGGATTCACATCTCCATCACACGCGTGGAGTCTCTCCCATCCCCTACAGAGATCCCGTGCCCGGGGCGGTGGGGGGGGAATGGTGGTTCGGGGAAGAGAGGTTGCTGATTTAGGCAGCTTTCCCTGATGATGCAGAAGCTACTGCTGTCCCCTCCTCTCCCTCCCTGCAGTGACACTGGCAGGCCAGCGCACAAGAAAAGAAGTGGGGAGAGGGACGGTTGTTAAATGGGGCTGGAGGGGGTGAGCACATGGCTGTCCTTCCCGCTGGGTGCTGGGAAAGCTCTCCTCGTGGAGGGGAGGGAGTTGTCTTCAGGGTACTGGTACTGCAGCATCCTCTGATGGTCCCCTCCCTGGGTGGGAGGAAGGATGCACCTGCATCCCCAGGTCCGGTAGGGACTTTGAGACCTGCCTGAGGTGGGTGGTAGTCTTACCTGAGTGAAACAAGGGGACACCTGCCCCCCCATGCTCCCCAACACCCCCCTCCTTTGCAGAAGCCCCTGCCTGCCCCCCCATCCCCCGCGTGCCCCGGGCAGGCAGGGCCGGGGGGGGTCAGAGGGAGCCCTGGCCCCAGGGGGAGACCCGCACGAGGCTCTGGGATTTCTTGTAGCTGCCAAAGGGCTCCTGATTTGTCTTGCACCTTGCCTTGGCTCTCCACAGCTCAGTGATCGAAACCTGAAATGGGTGGGGGGCAGAGCCGCTGCTCGGGGCAGCACCCTCGCCCTGGCTGCGCGGGCAGCTCTGGGCAGAGGGTTCCCGGGCAAAGCGCAGGGCTTTCTCTCCTTGTCTTCTTCTCGGTGAGAGGCGGGGTGGCTCTCCTGGTGGCCATCAAGGAGCAGAGCCAACTTACGCTCTCTAAGGATCTGCTCGTCACGTGCGGAAAGATAGTGCTGCCAGAAGGGCGGAGGATTTGGGCCGCTGTAGTAAAGCCAGAGGTATGGGCAGAGGGGGTCTAGGATGCCATCTGCTTCTCTGTCTGTCTGTCCGACCTGTCCTTTGGTCCTGCCTCATGCTGGCTGGTGAGCTGTTGGGATATTACCAGTGAAAATCTCTTTGCGTTCCTCAAAGTTTCGCAGGCGCAGAGCGGGGTGGCCACCGCTCTGACATCCCCTTACCCGGTAATCATTGGAACCACGCGGGAAGAAATACCTTCCTGGAGCAGGTGGTTATTAAACATTCAGGGCTTCTGCAAGAAAAAAAAAAAAAAAAAAACAAAACAAAAACAAAAGAACAACAAACAAACCCAAAAAATCCCACACCAACAATTTTGCTATTGATTTTCCTAAAAGCACAGCAGGTTCCTCTTGGGGCTGTTTTCAGGGGAAGGGGGGAGCTGCCAGGGATGCTCGCTGCCCTCCCCAAAGCTGCCCGTGCCCCCCTGCCCCAGCAGCACCCAGTCCGGCCGTGTTGGCTCCCCTCCACCCATGGGGGGCTTCCCAGAGCCCAGTTTGGTGGCCGGGCTCTCTCTGCCCCTGTCGGGGAGGCACATAGAAACCAGTGTAGGATTAAGCTGCAAATCCGCAGCCTGTAACAGGAGGCAGCTGCCTCATCTCATAAACCAATTTGTGTCTCATTTCACTAACTTCAGCTTTAACCAATATAAAAGAAAGGTAATTTTCAGCCCTGGGTCGTATTTATTACTCGAGTTATCAGTCCTTGTAATCAGTATCAGCATCACTGTGTAAAGTAATACAAAACTAATTACTATCTGAGCGAATTAGATAGATGACGGCTGTAGACTGCGTTGACAGTGGAAGAAACTATTTCTCGAGTTATGAGTGATAAGTGTTGGCTTTGCTCTGCTGTGATGAAGCTGTGAACAAAAAGGAAGGCGGTAGGGACAGGGACGCCCGAGGAGTGTCCCTCTGGGGTTTGTTGCCTGTGGGTGCCTCAGCCGGGCTCTTTGGGTGACCCCGGCGGTCAGGGGGATGCACAAGAGGTCGAGACAGTCAAGCAGTTCTCCGAAAAGGGGAAGATGCTCTTGGGGAAACTGGGGCACAGCCTGAGACGTGTCTTAGCACCAGCAAATCCCGACCACGGGGGAAGAGCACCTCAAAATCCCGATGCTCCCCCTTCTGCGGGCTGTAGCCATCGCCACTGCCCTCCCGCAGCTGAGCCCGGGAGCACTGGTCCCAGCCTCCAGCCCAGCTTTGTCCTGGGGTTTGGCCCTGGGAAGCTTTCTCCCTGTTCAGATCCCAGGTCCCAGCTCCCTGCCTCCCTCCCTATCCCAGCAGGGAAGCAGCATTCAAAACCAGCCAAAATGCGAAAAGATTTCCAGGAAAGATAACAGCGGGGCAATGACAAGTGTCAGCGCTCGCTCTGGGAACGCGCAGCAGTGAGCGAGCCCGGAGCAGTGCCGTGGTTTCTAGCAAGCAAGATGCAGGACAAGTCTTCAGGGTAAAGGTGTTTTCTGACTGGAGGCGTGTGACTGACCCAGGGAAATACGCCAAAAAAAGTCATCATCCCGAACCAAAGCATCCGAGTAACAGGAACCCACTGCACCGACTTTCCTGGGCTGCGATGTAGCCCGGAGGCTCTGACACGTATTGGCACTCGCTGTTCGAGCACGGGTTTAATGTCAAGAGCAGCTTTAGCTACACACAGATTTAGTGAAGTGAAGACCTGCAAAGGGGATTATTCTGTTCCAGTGTAACGTTAGGAGAGTGTTCTTGCTGCTGCGGAGTGTTTCTGCTTGCTGTGCCGCTAACAAAAGGGGAGGTTTGCAGCGCGTTCGGTGTGTGGAAGGAGTAGTCCCAGTGGCCGTGGCTGGGGGTTAACCGTCCGGAGCACGTTGGGCTGTCTGTTCCCGAGAGGAGATGCGGCCGCTCCTGGAGCCAAGCTCAGCACC